CTTATCTCAACAAACACCAACAATCAGAGCTGTAATGAAATTCCAAAGTCATTTACAAGACTCACATCTCTATCTGCTCTTAGTTGATGATGGCAAAGATGCCCACTCTTTCCTAGGGTGCCAATTGATATTTGCACCAGTGACTGATAAGTGTACTTCTCTTTATATTACCACTGCTTCAATACAATCCCTAGTGGTCTGAGGGGATTTGTATGCAGGAGATTAAGTGCCTGCATTAAGCTAATTTTTGAGATACAGAAAATTACAGTCTGAATGATGTGAGTTTATCAGGAGTAAAGTTTTCTGTGCCTTACATATTACACTGAAACTTTTACTCTTACTGGTTCTATGTAAATTTACTTGTCTACCCTATTTCTATATTCAACACCTATTTCAATATGAATTCAATCTAAGTCTGCTAAAAGTAAGAGATTTAAAAAGACAACAACTTTATTTTCCAATTTGACATTATAAGTAAAGCTATATTCTTAATTTTGAAAAAAATAACATTTTTGCCCAGGAAGATTTACTCAGTAATAATAAATGGTTGCCGTACATGTTTTTTATTCCGAATAAAAAATTCTTAATATTTAGTTTGATTGTTACTTATTCTGTACATATATAAAGCAATAAGTGCTACTTTCTTTTATTTATGTTATCATGTGTCTCCTCTTATAAAACAGTCATTCAAGTATGATTTATAAGTAAGTTTAAGAATGAATGTTGTAGAATTCTTTTCTCTTCGAAATATCTTATTTTAAGGTAAGAGTACACATTACCAAATTTATAATTAGGACAAAAGTGCTCACAACTCTAAATTTATTTATTCTATATTCCATATCTCAGACTCAATCTTAATAATTATAGAAATATAAAAAAGTTTGAATTAATGTATTAGTAGGAATGAAAGTACATCCTTTCTAATAAAGCCTTCTCTTATATGCTGCAGTGCCCCAAATCCTCTCATTATATTATAATTATTTGCTGAAGTTTCTCTTAAAGCTTGTGGATTTTACTTGCTTGAAAAATTATTTATCCAGGCAGAATGACCTATTATATTAATACACCTCAATAGCACCAATAGTCACAATGAAATCATGACTTACCAGTATGCTTTGAGGTGAATAGTTAGAAGAAGTCACAGTAATATCTTACACTGAACCACTTCAATACATTTGTAGTCACCTTCTTAGGTAACTCTGTTCACATAAATGGTTATTTCTCCCACCAATGTTAATAACTGTCTTCTTGAATGACAATCACAGAACTTTCTACTTGACTGTAGCTCTACTTTCACCTCCACATTTGGGCTTGGTATTTTTATATCTCTCGAAAATCTGGGCATTTTTTACATAAACCCATTGTATTCCCTCAACTTATTCTGACCCTTCTTTGTTTCTCCTGGAGCTAAGACTACTGTAACTCTGGAAAGAATGTCAAGTTCTGAAGTCCAGTAAGGAGAAGAAGAAGGAGAAATATCAACCAGTTAACTAACTACAAGGAAGAGTAGAGTTTTAAAAACAAACGTGGTGCAATTCATAACATTTTTTAGTTCTAGTCAAACAGAATGATATCACTGCATGAAAAATTGCTACAAAATTAAAAAGTTGTTCCATTAATTAGAATTTAATGTAGAAACCAGCCAAAATTTTTCCAATTTATTTGCTGTAAATATAAGTAAACAAAATACTCTTGTGATTTGCCGTGAAATAAATCTTACCACTTCTTTAAGTAATCATAAAATATCAAAATAATCTAATAAATTATCAGAATCTTTGCTCATGAATTGCACACATATATTTGTGGAAGTATATGTTTATTCTGTGAACAAATTGATATTTATTATAGACTAGCACTGTAATTACTAGTAACTCATTTTCTTCAAATGATAAACCACAACAATTTCTCATATTAACTATCTATCTCTCAACCTCTGTGCACAAATGACTATTTTCAAATTCTGGGCATAGAGGTGAAGTGATTTGTACATGTCATTGTCAATTCTAGACACAAAATTCCTTAACCCAATGTCATTCTCATGTACACCTCTTATTCTTGTAAGATAATATACTTGGATAGAAAAAGAGGAAGTACTTTCTTCTATATGGTTTGTCACATTATATTCTCCTAGTGCATCTAAAGAAATATTGGGTAAATCAATAGAAACAACAAAGAACAAGCATTCAACTTCTATAGTACATCAATATTTTAAATCAGAACTCTCAGTAGTGTGAAAAAGTTGAAAATATAACATGATTTAAAGATTCTCAATACCTGGCTCCCCCTTAAAGCAAACATGGTTTTGGAAACCAGGTCAATAATACAGGAAGGTGAACCAATAAGGAGAAGAGTACTTTGATCTTTGTGATTTTGTGTATAAATGTGTTTTCTAACCTCACTATCTAAGGGAAATCATGTAGCATTCAATTCATCTTCTGAAAAGAGAATTTCATCATGTTCTTTATCATCTAATTGTTAATAAAGGGAAAGGGTAGAAAGAGCACTCATTCACTTATTAACACATCCTAATTAAAGATGCATGATCTATAAAAGGAAATTAGAAATGATTAGGCAGAATATCATTTGTAATATTTACTTATACTAAAGTATTCGCTGGTTAACTTCTCCCACAAACAATAACAACATCCTATTACTACAAATGCATCTGAAATTCTTTCATTAGCCCATAAAATTAGTGCTTTACATAGGCTGTAAAATACTATGTGGAAACTACGAGTCTCTACATTTTCAGATAAGCAGTGAAAGGTTGTTCTTCAAACATAAAATTGAAACATTTAAGAACATCTCTCATCTTAGTAATTTTAATAAGAAATACAAGTAAACCTCTCCTACCCTCTTTTCTCCCCTTCTCCTCCCTCTTTTCTTTTCTCCCTTCTTTCCTTCTTTCTTTCTTTCCTCCTTTCCTTCCTTCCTTCTTTCTTTCCTTCCTCTTTCCTTCCTATGTTTTCTAATGTTCTATAGAAATCACATAACAAGAAGCAAACAAAATGTTAGAAGTAAAATAATAATGGAAAATTGTACAGTGATTGTGTAGTTATTCAGAACTAAGAAAAATTTGGAAATAGGAAATCAATAAAGAAGATGTGCACTTTTTTTGGGGGGGGGGTCCGGTCGTGGGCCCTGAACTCTGGGCCTGGGTGCTGTCCCTCAGCTCTTCAGCTCAAGGCTAGGGCTCTACCACTTAAGCCACAGTGCCACTTCCGACTTTTTTCTTTTTGCTAGTCTAGTTAAAGAAGACAGAATTTTGGATGGCTAGCATTGATAAGAAAAAGAGAGAGCAGAGGGGATAAAATTGAAAAGGTAAATGGGACCTGATAATTGTGACTTTTAAATATTGTAAACTCTCAAGATGAGTGGATATAGTTAAGAGATTCCAAGAAAGAGAAAACATGATCTGGGTTTGGTTTCCACTCATGTCTTTTTAAAGTGAAGTATAAATTTGAGGGACAAAGCAAAAAGTCACAGCAAACTCATAGGAATCAATTACAATAGACTAAATGGAAAAGTGAATGGTTATTCAAATCAATGGATTCATCATCTCTTTTGAATAGGTTTGCTAATTATAAAAAGCCTGTAAAGAGGAAGGTTTATAATCAGCAGTGAAAGGAGGAAGAAATGCTCTGAAGTTTTAACTGAATTTCTATTAAAATTAAGGAAAATCTATCTCTTCTAAGTTCACAATGGTGTAATATGTTTCTAAAGAAAACAAACAGGTGTTTGAGGATTTGTTGTTGGGGGATTTAATTTTTTAACAAATCCTCAAAGAAACAACTGCCCAATAAATAAGTGGGCTAAAGACTTAAAGAAAAACTTCTCTGAAGAGGAAATAAGAATTACCAATAGACACATGAAGAAATGCTCAACCTCCCTAGCCATAAAATAAATGCAAATCAAAACAACATTGAAATTCCACCTCACCCCGGTTAGAATGGCTATGATCAAGAAATCTAATAACAACAGATGCTGGAGGAGATGTGGCCAGAAGGGAACCCTACTGCATTCTTGTTGAGAGTGTAAACTTGTTCAAACGCTTTGGAAAGTAGTGAGGAGGTTCCTCAAAAGACTCCACATAGAACTCCCCTATGACCCAGCAATCCCACTTTGGGGCATTTACCCAAACAATCACAATCAAGGCAATACTAATGCTACCAGCACAAGTATGTTTACTGCATCATTATTTACTATAGCTAAGATATGGAACCAACCCAGATGCCCCTCAGTAGATGAATGGATCAAGAAAATGTTGTATATATACACACAATGGAATTCTATGCCTCCATCTGAAAGAATGACATTGCCCTATTTGTTAGGAAATGGAAAGCCTTGGAAAAAATTATGTTAAGTAAAGTAAGCCAGCCCCAAAGAAACATAGGTCTCATGGTTTCCCTTATTTACAATAACTAGTATATGTCTGAGATAAACGAAACAAGTCAGATAAGATGATGGTAAGCGAAATGAACCCCAAGATAAGGACACAAATGTGTTTTTTTTTTCTTTCTTGCTATTGTTTCTAATGTAGTTATAAGGTTGCTTTGTATGTCTCTCCCCCACGGTATAACCCCTGTTTTCACTGTATTTGATGTTGGTATAATTTGTGGAGGAGAAGGGAAAAAAACAAATTGTTTAAATAGGGATACAGGTGGACCCATTGCAACACTGAGATGTACAAGAAGCTACTTATGTACAAGACGCTACGTAGAAAAACGAACTTTACAATTTAAGCGGAGGGGAGGGGCGGGGAGAGCGAAGGGGGGCAGTGAAGTGAGAGGGCAGTTAGGGGGGTGTAGTTGTGGAGATGGGAGGGAAGGGACAGTAGGGAAAAAACAAAGGAGGAGGCAACAGTGCTTGACAAGAAATGTACTCATTACCTTGCTCATGTATCTGTAACCCCTCTGTACAATATTTTCACAATAAAAAAAACATTAAAAAAAGAAAAAGAACAGGAAAATCTGGAAAGATAGAAATTAACCGAAACTTACCATTTTTAGCTTTGCAAGACCTGTTATCCGGCTGCATGATGTACCCCTGCACACAACCACAAGTGTAGGATCCATGTGTATTTATGCAAGTCTGGCTGCAGGAGCCATAAATGGCACATTCATCTTGATCTAAAAGAAAAGAGATGCTTGATAAGAAATGTACTCATTACCTTGCCCATGTAATGGTAACCTCTCTGTACAGTATTTTCACAATAAAAAATTAAAGAAAACACACAAAAAAAGACGAAAAAAGGAACAACAGTTTAAAACAGCTTTTTTCTTTAACCTTTTTTTTTTATCTTTGAACTGAATTTTTTTTTTAATTTTGGAAGTACAATATTGTCTGAAAAAAGGGAGAGGTAAGCCAAAAAGGAGAGGTAAGCCCAAAAAAATCTCTTTCAAGCCACAGCTACTGAAACCAAATTCATCATTGCTTTAATATTTCCTGAGATAATAGATCAAATTTTAGACTAAATCATTTATTATAAAATAGCTATTTTCTCTTTATTGAGAAAGTAAGATGTGCCCAGATGTGCTTATGAATGTAAAAGAAGGCACTGTAATTAGTATCTGCTGAATAGTTCCAGTGTTTATAACACTAACCAATCTAAGTTTTAACCAATAATTAAAAAATAATTTCAAGATGCAGCTTAAGGAAGATTCTGGAACCATTCCATTTATACAGTACCCTCACAAATGAAAAGAGGGATATTACCAATCACTATTTAAAGTTTGTTTTATTCTTTGTGGTTCTCCGTCTTTGTCTTTGCTTCTGCCTGTCTCAATCTTTCCTTCCTCTAATATCTGATTTAAGTTTCGATGAAAAACAGGTACTTAATGATTGCTTACTAACTGGATGAATTAGATATTCTGTCAATAATAGATTAGTTAAAAAATACATTTTTGGTGCTGACAATCATAATAATCCATAAAGTCAACTAATTTGAAGAAATATGACTCTCTATATAATGAAATGTTATAATGACATAGTAGATTGATAGATACAAAATATAAAATGTTATAACGATTCTATGTATTTCCTCCAAGTAAAAGCATATTGTATGTATGGTAGAAACAAAGAAATTGTGAATTTGCTTGGGTTCTAATATTGTCTCATATCAAGTACAACCTTCATAATAACTTAAGTTCCAAGAAAAAATTCAAAGAATGGATTTTAAACAAATAATACATAAATGACAATGGGATGACATAAAAGGTTTAGAATCAAGTTAAATACACACGTATAAAGTCACGTGTTGTGTTACAAAATGATACTGAAAAGACACAACATAGATTTTTAAGGGAAATATTTTGTATACTACATTAAAGATATGTAAAGTACACATACACATTAGGAAAATATGAATTAAATGGATCCTATGATCAGCTTTGTATTCTAAAGGTATCAACTTAAATAAAATGACAGATTGGTGCATGAAAAGAAGAGATCTTAGAAAATCCTCTCCTAATTTCAGGAAAGGAATTGCATTTTAAAGACAAATTTTGACCTAAATCAGTGACAATGTAAATGGAGAATAGGGGAGAGAAAAAATTAAGAAATAAAGGAGAGAATATTGGAAAAGTAAATGTGATAGAAGTTGATACTGTTCAACTTGGAAATAGATTATGTTAGAAGTGCAGACTTGAGTGGTAATTCCCTGCTGGAAAAGAGTAAGTACTCTGGTTATGTTAAGTTTGAAGAGTATGTAGTGTATCCTTCAGTAAATATTTAATAAGCACTTGAAAATATATAACTGTTAATAGAGTATCATATGTTCTATGGATATGTATCTAGATACATATGAATACATATGTTCTATGTATATGTATGGATAGAGTATCATATGTTCTATGGAGAAAATAACATAAATGCTGGGCATTTTTAAATTTTAAATGAGAAGAAAATAAGGTTGGATCAGAATAAAGAACAGGCAAAAATATAAGTTCATGAGGTTCTCATGTATAGGACTCAGGAAGAATATAAGGAATTAAAATATAACTTTTTAGAAATAGACTGTTCAAAAGAATTACACACAGAATTTTTAAATTTTCTTCTTGAATTCACCAATTAGAGCCTTGTTGTAGTTGTCTTTGTACAATGTTAATATTTTTATGTTGTAATATAAAATCTTTTATTACTCACTTTTCAATAAATTTATTACATCTATAAATTACCTGTTTTGAGTGGATTTTAGTTTATAATTTTGTAGAGTTCTAGATCAATGTCAACTTGCATTTCTCCCTTGATGAATATGGTATGCACAAAGCTTAAATGTGATCTCAGAGTAGACATGAATGGAAAAGTAGAATTTTAAGGCAAGAAAATAAATAGCATAGAAACCCAGATATACTGAGAAAAATGGTGATACTACAAATGTAATGATCAAAATAAACCTCCAGCCGTTTACAAAATAATATTGAAGGGATTAAAACTAGTCTTAACTAGATCTTAAGATAAAAATATATTAAACCAAATTTACTTTAGTTATGAGATTAGAAGCCAAGGGTGATGGGTGGATAATGAAATAAAAATAAGAAATTGAGGAAATAAATGAATAATAACTAATGCATAATAGCTGTATTGGCTGTATAAGTTTGTCCATTCTCAGGACCACACAATATCTAAAAACAAGAGAAATCCTTAGTATCCTTGCCTTTTTTTTTTTTTTTTTTTTGTCGTTTTATTTTTTTTTTTTTTTTTTTTTTGGTCGTGCGGTTTGAACTCTGGGCTTGGGTGCTGTCCCTGCACTTTTCAGCTCAAGGGGAGTGCTCTACCGCTTGAGTCAGAGCACTACTTCCGGTTTTCTTGTGGTTTATTAGACATAAGAGTCTCATGGAGTTTCCTGCCTGGGCTGGCTTTGATCTCAGCCTCTTGAGCAGCTAGGATTACAGTCATGAGCCACCAGTGCCAGGCTCCTTGCCTAAATTTTTATATCTATCTTTGCTCTAAGCCATTCACCTTCCAATTATCCTGGAATGTAAGAAAGATATGTCTGATGGATCACATGCCTACAAGGAGTTATGGAGTAAACTATTTCCAAGGAAATGAAAAAACACAATCTTCTCAGGAAAAAATACTAACCAGACAACAATAGCTCGCTTATCCTGATCAGATTTCTCCCTTGAAGGGATGTCAGAACTTTCCCCAAACATGTCGGTAATAGTCCACCAAGTCATACTTTGACCAGGACTGTTTAACCATGCTTACCCATTCACTTCCTACCCCAACTCTCTTTTTCTACTTAACCCAAAACTCATGTATAATAAAGACCTGCCCCTGCAAGAAATGGGAAATGGATTTGTTGGCTATAAGAAAAGACAATGTATAGAATGATTGTTCTTTTCTTTTTTTCCTTTTATATGTAAGAAGCGTGATTTTTTGTTGCTTTACTTCAACATGAGAAAGTGAAGAATCAGACTTTAAATGTATATAGAAAGAAGTGAAAATTGATAGACTAAGTCAAGACACAATTTCAGTTAGTGAATTTAGATAAAAATGGAAAAATGAATAAAAGAAGTAAACATCTTACTTTAAAATAAGAACAAATGAAGAATGCTTAAGTAAGGATGTAAATGGTGAGACCAAGTTAAAAAACTTGTTATTGGACGATACATACAAAATGCATATGTAGAAAAGTAAAGCCTTTCTGTAAGATTGAAGAGAGCTGCCTAAAACATTTTAAAAGGACAAAGAATGAGACAGTACATTTTGAAAGAAATGGACAAGGGGGCTGTAGAAGTTGCTAACTGTCCAACTCTCTTGGATCTTAAATTGTATTATTACACCATTCAGAGTCTTTAATAGTGTGTCTTCAGCTCTGTAAACTATCCTCTGCCTCCAATCAGAAGTTAGTTCTGCAAGGAACCAAGGCAAATCCAAGTACTAGGAGAGATGTCATCTCCCCCCCAAAAAAAACAAAAACAATGCACAATCATTTTCTTCTTCAAAATAGGTGTATAAACATCTTACATTCCTTGTCCCTCATTCTGGAGGCGTTTCCCACATATTTAAGTGCCAATTAAGTTCTGAAGCTAGCTAAATGTTTCAAATTATCAGTGACCTCTCTATCTGACCTCTCACTGCTATTATTAAAATATGGGGGGAAACGTACAGCATATAAACACAAACTTTCTTTTGGACTCTTGTTTTACAAACTGCTTCTAGGAAAACCTAAGTCAATAAAAACTTTAAAGGAAAAAGAAAAAATATTACTGAGTAGCATAAGGGGCTATTTCAATTAGGAAAGTGTACATACATATGGAATTAATTAAAGCTTGTCTTAGATTTCTTCAGAGTCATAGCAACCTAAAGTTAGGATAGGTAGTGTGAAATCAGTAACATTATGGGATAGAACAATGTTTGGAGCTAAATCTAAATATTGCTGAAATAAATTTAGTTTTGCGTTTGACAAAGTCCACTTTCTGGACTAATGTCACAGAAGTGATTCTTACCTACTTTCACAGATTTTTTTTCAACTTTAACAATATACATTTCTGTTTCTGCTTTTGTGATACAATTATGCTACCCAGCAGACAAATATGATTAATGATTTATTTTGTTTTATCTACTTGGCCAGAATGTACTACTATGACACTGATACAACTCCACAAAATTAGCCACAAAGGAATAGATATATCATTGCTTACAATCATGCTTTCAGTTTTAGTTTTCCTTTTTTTTCCTTTTGAGGACAATGAGTAATTTGACTGCAACTATAGGTTCAGAGAAGCAGAAATGATTCTCAGACATAGCTGTCAGAGGGTGAAGCAAGAATGGAAAGGCTTTTGTTTCTGTTTGATAATTCCAAGATGATTGCCATGCAATTCTTTACTAAAATACAACAAGAAGAAAGTGGCTATGGTTGTGCTAATATGTTTGGTTTGGAGATTAGGGAATGTAAATGTTTGATTTTTACTTTTGCAATAGAAACTGCAAATCCTGATCCCTGGAGAAAGATAGAACAGATGAGTGAGAAAGAGGCATTCATGGGTATCTCAGCCCAATGTATATCAATGATCAGAGCTGTTTTGAATTATAGATTGCATGACTTTTGTAATTATTATGGTTTTAAGGTCACCCTAATATTTTCAGAAAGTCTATATTTGTACATACATACTGATTGTTTTATTTGTTTTAAAGCAATGTGACATCAATAAATTGATCATTATTTCCCTCCTGTAGCAGCTTCAGGATCTTATAAGTTTTTAACTACTAAATTTTTATGACATTTATATTATATGCAAAACAAACCCTGATTTGAAAGTCAAGTCTCACATATACCTAAACAAGCAAGGACCCTCTTCAGGAAAACAAGGAGGATCTACACACACAGCTTTTATGTCTCTGTTGTATTACTAAGAATATAGATCACATTATGCAATTAACCTCACAGGATATCTGTTTTGTTATTTGGTCTTTAATAATTTGAAAAATATTTTCTTTAATGTCTATTTAGGTATGATTTTTTTGGTGATATTGGGGTTTAAATGTCAGACCTCACTATTATTAATTTAATACTCTAGCACTTGAGCCATGAACCCAGCCCTAATGATTTTTTTTTTAACTTTATAATCTCTGTAGGACTAAGAATGTTGAAGCTGAAGTGTAAAATAATCAGTAAAGCATGGTTACTTAGAAAAAAATTATAATTAATAGTAGTATCTTGGGCAGTGTAGCTATTCATTGATTATTCATGTTTATATTTTGAGTATATCTATATGATGAATATACATACAAATAGTATGTTTGTGTCCTTATATAATAGCTTGAAATATAAAGGGATTCATTGTACCATAAAAATACCATGAAAAATTATATATATATATCATATTCTCTATGTGTAGCTGTCTGTGTTTTTACATACATATAATTTAACTGAATATAATGGAGAGATAACAAGTTTGTTCAGTATAGTAAAGGGAGTCATTCTTTTTTTACAGTCATTTGCTGTAGAACATGGACTAAAGCTAGCATTATTGGTTTCCTTCAAGGTTCTAGAGACTTAACTGAGGGCCCAATTCATGTAAGGCAAGCCCACAAACATTGAGCAACACTCCCCAAACTATAAGAAATTAGAAGTATTTTTCTCTATCCAGCTTTCTGTCTATCTAGCTGATACAATGCCCTTTGCAATAAATTTATAGGAAACATAATTAGTTTAATAATTTCTATAAGATTATAGCAATATGACAGTCATTAGTCACTTAAGAAGTTAAAGAATTAAGTATATTCTGGTAATGACAGATTAGCCCTGGCTGATGTTTCCCAATTTGATATTATTTGAATATGAATTGAAATTATATTGCCATAATTTACATGTGAAGTTTTATTTTTTGTCAGTCTTGGGGCTTGAACTCTTGGCCTGCGTGCCGTCCCTCAGCTCTTCAGCTCAAGGCTAGCCCTCTACCACTTGAGCTACAGTGCCACTTCCAGTTTTCTGGTGGTTTATTGGACATAAGAGTTTCATGGACTTTCCTGTCCGGGCTGGCTTTGAACCTCAGCCTTCTGAATAGCTAGGATTACAGGTTTGAGCCACTGGCATCCAGCTATGTGAAATATTTATATTTTCAACTTTTAAATTAGAAGACATATAAGGTTAACATAAGTTTTAAGTGGATCACTTAAAGGTCTGAATATACCTTGCTAAATTTCATTCAGGAAGCATTTACAGAGAGTTGAATAATATATAGTTTGAAACTGTTGGCCATAGGTCCATATACTGGGAACTTTTTATTTTGAGCCTATTGTTACTATTGGTATATGAATGAGGGGTTAAAAACTTGCTGCCTACTGGTGGTCCTAGTTCACAGGAAGCCATGGGGTGAATGGGCTTCTTCCATCATCTATTTCCACCATTGCTACAGACCCAAAGATATATATCCAATGAACCAGAGACTGAAACTTCCAGCCAAAATAAACTTTTCATCTTTTCATGCTAATTATCTCTAACAGTATTTTGTTATAGTATCAAACTCAACTAACAAAACTGGTTTATTTCCCACTTACCTTTACAACTTCTCCCATCCTCTCTTATTTCAAATCCATCCTCACAGTAGCATCTAGTATTGTTTCTGACAATTGCACATTTGTACTGACAATTTAGCTGCTGGCAACTTGATAACAATTCTGTAGAGGAAAAAATAAGTGTGATCATTATATTATACTTTATTTATTGTTTAAATTTAAATATTCATGCATAACCTTAATAAATTCTGTTTTTTTCTATAAGGTTTCCTTGATTGATATGAAGAAGAAACTCTCATTTTTTTAAAGCACATGGATTTGTGTTTGTTTGAAATATTAATAAACTTAAGATCAATTTGTCTTCCACTTTTTAGCATATTACTATTTACAAAGTCACTAATGCATCCAAATCCTAGTAAATTAAATTATTTTAAGAGGAAAAATTTACAGTCAGTGGTTTTCCCATCCATGCCTTTTCTACCAGACACATCAATTGATTTTCTATCTTTCAAGAGCTTGTTTTGATTTAACAATCCATGTGTAAACTTCATAGTAATCAATGTAAATATATTCCATATCAATTATTTATTTTTTTCCATTGGCAGAAAACATACAAGTAGTAGACTTAATATTTCAATGTATCTGAACTGTTTCAGAGGAAATATGTCATTGAAATAAAAGTGTGCAAAGCCTCAGAGCAAATTAGAATTCAATATGATAAATTCTTGAAACATGATGTAATGAGAGTGTAATATACAGAATACAAATAATCTCTAATGGAAAAAAGGATTTGTTAAACTAGAAAAGGTATTTAGATAGAAGATATGGCTATTTTTTAATAAAATGGGATGATTACAATTTTGTAACATACCACTTGAACTTTTTTCATAGGAAAAAAGTAACAGTATGAAGATCAAAATGAATGACAAAAATATTATTTGCCCTAAGCTTAGCTAGTGCTTTAGGAAAGTACAAATTATAATATACAGTGAATAAGAAGTCTACTGTGAGAAAATAAAAGACATCCAAAATAAAAATATGCCAAACTGAATATTGAATATTTCATTAAGAAATTAATCATAAATTTTCTTTTATAGTCCAGTTTCTTTTCAATTCTCTTATAAAACATTTTCCCACATCATCCACTCCATATTTTTGTATGTTTACTTGTGAATATTCTCTTTCCCCTTACCTTTCAAATATATTTGAACTCACTATCAAAGCTCCTGTGCAACTCCTATGTAAAACCCCATCTCTTTTTTGTTCTATGAGCTCTGTTCCACTAGTTTTCCTATCACCACTTCCTTCTATTCATATTTAGTCAGGGTTGGCAAAGAGCCAAATCTATGTTGATGGAATTAACTTCCATTAGAACGAAACAACACTCATTATTTACATATTGCCTATGACTACTTTTACACTACCTCTGAGACTATATGGTTACTATAGCCTTAATTATTTATGAGAGCCCCTAAAATATTTGCTGAATCCTACACTCAGCATCAAACATGCTTACTTTCTCATAATTTACAGAAACAATGCCTAAAACTCACTTCTCCTAGTAGTTGTTACAATTTTTAGTCACTTCTTTTTAATAAATATGTATCAAATATATATTATTTAACCATGCATATTTATATAGAATATCTAGTATATGTGTATTATATGCAAATATATTCATATACACTCATATAAAATATATATTTATATTACATATACTATGTATATGTTTATGTGGATGTATACTCACTATCTCTCTTTTGCTTTGTTTGTTAATCCTCTGTTTCTTACTGCTTTTATAACATATACAACCAGTACTCACTCACTACCAGTATTTTAAAAAGTCTTCTAATGCAAAAGTCTCCAATGAGGCCCATGTGAATAAGTACAATGAACTTTCCTTCCTTTTCATCTTCCTAGACCTGTTATCAGCATTTGACAGAGCTGATATCTCTTTCATTGTTGTATTTATGATTCTTCTTCTAGAAACTACATTTATAGCTTTCTTTCTTTTCACAGCCTCCCCTGCTTGGCTCCTTTCTTTCTCATAAATCTAAGTTCGGTGTGCTCTAAGGCAGACATCATGGTATTTCTCCCAATTCATCTATGTGCCACTATCACCACATCATGTCTCCAGGCTTCCTTTTGAGTACATAGCTGTTATATCTGATTTTGGAAGCTACCAATGACCTCTTCAATTTACAATTTCTAATAATGAAACAATTATTGACTTCTAGAAATACATTTCTAGTGTCCTTGATGTATTTTCAATAAAGACAACAATGAACTATTTCAAGACAACAATGAACTATTTCAAGTTTGACACTGATGGCTCATGTCTAGTAGGCTAAACTCTGAAGTCATGATTTGAAATCATCCTAGGCAAGAAAAGTCTGTCAGAATTTATTTCCCTAATTAATCACTAAAAAGCCAGAAACAGAAATGTGGCTAAGTTGTAGAGAAACAAAGCTAAGAGACATCAGTTAATGAGTTCAAATCCCAGTACTGGGCAAAAGTCAACTATTTCTAATGTATAGGCTTGAATATTGAGTTAATACAAATTATAAAATAAAAGATGTTGATATTCTTAATGTAGCATGATTGTGGATTTGCCTACAAAGCATACTTACATTAAAAACTGGAATTACTCTGTTTAAAAATGTAGTTCCCCTCTAATTCATATGAATTGCTATAAAGAAATTATTACATATCAGATTCTAGAAATAGGTAAATGCTTTATTATCTCACATTGTACAGAAGGTGAGACTGATAGTTGTTAACTGACTGAAATTTATACAGTAAAACTGTGACAGAAATGCATAGTAACACCAGTGTGAATGCAAAATTCATGTTTATGATACATGTTCTGATCTTTACAATCTTCAATGAATCTAAGCATGAAACATTCTTTAGTCCATCCAATTATTGTAATTTTGTTTGCATCCTATATATATTTAATTACAGATTAGAAGAAATGTTTCTCAAGCCTGGCAATGATGCCTCACACCTGTAGCCCTAGCTACTCAGGAGACTGAGATTGGATAATGGCGGTTTGAAACCAACTGGGGCAGGAAAGTCCATGGGACTCTCATCCCCAATAAACTATTCAAAAAACCCAGAATTGGTGCTGTAGCACAACTGGTAGAGCACTCACATTGAGCAAAAAGAAGCTCAGAGACAGAACCTTGACCAGGAGTTCAAACCGCAGGAAGAGAAAAAAATTACATCTTTTTTTTTTTTTTTTGTCGGTCGTGGGTCTTGAACTCTGGCCCTGAGCATGGTCTCTCAGCAATTCAGCTCAAGGGTAGAACTCTACCACTTGAGCTATGACGCTATTACCAGTTTTCTGATGGTTCACTGGAGGTAAGAGTTTCACAGACTTTCCTGCTCCGGGTGGCTTGAACAGCGATCCTCAGATCTCAGGCTCCTGAGTAGCTAGGATTACAGGCGTGAGCCAACGGCACCTGGCAAAATTACTATTTTTTGTGTCATATCAATAAATCAACAAAATTACCTAACTTTCAAATGAGAATTAACAAGAGACACCATTTCTAGTCCATCAAATTAAACTAAGTCTTACGGACAGTTCATTTCCTTCATAAAGTTAGGTAATAGAGTAGACAGATTTTGTTTGATTATCGTGGAATCAATGCAACATGGGCATGGATTTATGTGATATTTTAGTTTAACATATTTTTAAAGTTAATTTATTTTTAGTATATATTTTATTGTAAGGATACTGTACAGAGGGGTTACAGTTACATGAGTAAGGTAATAAGTGCATTTCCATTGTTATCTCCTCATTGTTTTTCCCTCAATAATACTCACTACTCAATAATAAGCACTTTGCTGGTGTTCCAGGGGTATAAACTGGCTTGGAGAGACATGAGGATATAGAAATGAAAAAGGACAGGAGCATGAACAATAGCTATAATTTATGGAAGATAACCACTTAGGTTGAATCATAATACAGATTTCATGATTTAGAAAGATTTAACTAGGACCTAGATATGATAGGGAACATCTGAAGAACAGTTGTGCCGACATTTAGTATACAAACATTCCAAGATAAAAGTCTTACATGAATTCCTGTCTGATAAAGGAAGCAGTATAAAACTAACAATTAAAAAGCAATTGAAGGGAGAGAAGGAATTGGGAGGGAAAGAAGAGTATGATGAGATTGATGATGTTGATCAAGACACAGTATACTTAAGAATTGCCATATTGAATGGCAACTCCAATTAAAGATACCAAAAAATGTATAAAAATAAAATAAAATAAAGGGGAAGTAACTGTGTTGCTAATCTATACTATTTAATGTAAGAAATAGGTAGAACATTGCTTTGAGGACAAATTAATAGATTTAGTAGAATTTTCTCCTTAGGAGTTGGGATATTGGAATACATTGACTTGTAATTTTTGAAAGTACAAAGGGTAGTGAAAAAGATGAAGGAAAAATAGAGGGGGATACATTGGAAAGAACTGCCATTATGGGGAGGGAGAAATGATGAGGAGAATTAATTAGAAACTACAAAGGAGCAAAACTACAAATATGAAAAGTCAGTTGACATATAGGCTTTAGCTGGTAGGTGGAGGTGGTGCTAGTTGAAAATAGAAAAATGAGACAAAGACAAACTAGCCTTTGATTCATTAGATTTGTCCTACACTGGAATTTATGTGTGCACCAAATGAAGCCAGGGAATATTAACAATTATTCCTTATGTAAAAATTGTGCATATTGATTACTCTAACTCATTGTAAATAATTAGGAAGAACTGGAACTCTAAAAAACCCAATTCCAAAATTTGGATTGATTATGAAAGCAATACTAATTAGTGTAAAATTATCTATTTGAACTACTTATTATTTATGCTCCATTACAAACACTGCTATGACTATAAACATAATTAAGGGTGCAAAAGATAAATTTTGTGGAAATTGTGCTTATAGCACTAAATTTAACAAAGTGCCTTTCATTTAGCAGTCACTGGTTCATAAGACATTTTCCCTGATGTGGATCTTATACTGACATAGAAAGACTGCTATTATAGAAGGGGGTAAAATATGGCAATGAACATAGATGTGTAAACATGTTATCAAATCTCTATTTCTCAGTATTATCACAAAATAGAACCATCCTTTGGAGTAATGTATAAGAAATA